ATGTGTATGTTTATGTGTATGTTTGTGTGTGTGTGTGTGTGTGTGTATGCGCCTGCGGGCTTTTTCTTGGGCCATTAAGCCTTGATGTTCAGAAGGTGACATGCATTTTCGATCAGTCTGATTTATGACCGGTATTGCATATATACAACAAACAAACACACACATGCACACACACACACGCACACACACACACACTCGAGTAGCATGACCATTACAGAAGCTAATTGGCCAAACTATTCTATATCTTTCTATGCTTATACATTTGGGTTTTTAGTTCTGGGTATATCAAAGAGAAGACGTAGAGCCGATCAATCTTTTTGATTTGGCGTTTGTGAACTTGAGTCTTTTACAGGAATTAGTTCCAGCTCTGATGATGCCCATCATTTGATGGACCAAAGCTCAGCCCGTTTTCTCCTGAAACCAAAGAGCATATCTCGTCAACGTCGTATTGAAGCTAGACGACTGCAGTACAGCCCCAACCAGACGTCGCTATCTGATCAGATCGACCTTCGAATCTCTTCTTCATGCACTTTCATGCGAAATTATAGTCGCCCCAACAGCAATCAAATTCCATTTGACGGATATACAACTTTTCTTCATTGCAAATCCGGTAGATGTGTTGCGCGGTAGTCGCAGCTCGATGTCACCGCGTCAGGCCGATCTGGCCGGAACACGGCGGTCAAAGGTCCGTGGGCGGCGGTTCAACCCGCCTCAACTTTGGGGACGCCGTCTCTCGACTTCTCTTCCGGCATGTTGAGATTCCGTTTGCTTGATGACAGGCCTCACCGAAGCTCTTATTCACTTGCATCAGACACAGAAAAGAGGAATATCTACATCATCTCAACCCGCGTTTATATTGGCTTTCAGCGAGTGTCGCAATTTAATTTTACTCTACCTGGTTTGGGTGTGCGTGTTTGTTGTCGTGTCTTTATGCGTACAATACAGTGTCCACTTGTGGTTGTTTCTTCAAGTGGTTTGGGGGACCTGACATCTGTTCCAAGTCACTCTAACATTTTCTGCTCGTTTACAAAGTTCAAACGCATTACATCCGTCTCGCTGAACCGGTAAGGTTGTTGTGCTCATTCACTATTTGGCATGTGCACGTGACTGAACGAGACGATCGCATGTGGGGAGTAGAAGAAGAAGAAGATGGGTGACAGGCTTGATGGAATTTGTGAGATCGTCGCCGGAAGCGCCGGATTTGCGCATTAAAATAAGCTGAAGAAAATTGATGCACAAGAGAAAGTCGTCAGTCAGATGAGCAGATGTATTTAAACGTCTGTGCATGAAAGCAGTCCGAAAAGGCGCATTCTCTAGAGTTTTGGTAGACCTGGTCAGCGTAATTGAAGAGTCAACAAAAAATGATACCAACCGGATAGCGTCGAAAGTGATTCTTCATTTTGCTGAGTTTCTGCGTCTCAAGGCAAGATCAGTGTAGGCTACCAGAACTGCCATGGCGTCTTGAGTGGATATATA